TTAACAAGGATATCCAGGAATTGAACTCATCTCTGCAGCAAGCAGACCTAATAGACATCTACAGAACTCTCCACCACAAACCAACAGAATATACATTCTACTCAACACCACATCACACTTATTCCAAAATTGACCACATAGTTGGAAGTAAAGCATTCCTCAGCAAATGTAAAAGAACAGAAATTACACAAACTGTCTCTCAGACCACAGTGCAATCAAACTAGAACTCAGGACTAAGAAAATCAATCAAAACCATTCAACTACATGGAAACTGAACAACCTGGTCCTGAATGACTACTGGGTACATATGAAATGAAGGGAGAAATAAAGATGTTCTTTGAAACCAATGAGAACAAAGATACCACATACCAGAATCTCTGGGACACATTTAAAGCAGTGTGTAGAGGGAAATTTATAGCACTAAATACCCACAAGAGAAAGCAGGAAAAATCTAAAATTGACACCCTAACATCACAATTAAAAGAACTAGAGAAGCGAGAGCAAACACATTCAAAAGCCAGCAGAAGGCAAAAAATAACTAAGATCAGAACAGAACTGAAGGAGACAGAGACACAAAAAACCCTTCAAAAAATCAGTGAATCCAGGAGATGGATTTTGAAAAGATCAACAAAATTGATAGACTGCTAGCAAGACTAATAAAGAAGAAAAGAGAGAAGAATCAAAGAGATGCAATAAAAAATGATAAAGGGGATATCACCACCAATCCCACAGAAATAAAAACTACCATCAGAGAATACTATAAACACCTCTACACAAATAAACTAGAAAATCTGGAAGAAATGGATAATTTCCTGGACACTTACACTCTCCCAAGACTAAACCAGGAAGAAGTTGAATCCCTGAATAGACCAATAGCAGGCTCTGAAATTGAGGCAATAATTAATAGCCTACCAACCAAAAAAAGTCCAGGACCAGATGGATTCACAGCCGAATTCTACCAGAGGTACAAGGAGGAGCTGATACCATTCCTTCTGAAACTATTCCAATCAACAGAAAAAGAGGGAATCCTCCCTAACTCATTTGATGAGGCCAACATCATCTTTATACCAAAGCCTGGCAGAGACACAACAGAAAAAGAGAATTTTAGACCAATATCCCTGATGAACATCGATGCAAAACTCCTCAATAAAATACTGACAAACCAAATCCAGCAACACATCAAAAAGCTTATCCACCATGATCAAGTGGGCTTCATCCCTGGGATGCAAGGCTGGTTCAATATACGCAAATCAATAAACGTAATCCAGCATATAAACAGAACCAAAGACAGAAACCACATGATTATCTCAATAGATGTAGAAAAGGCCTTTGACAAAATTCAACAGTCTTGATGCTAAAAACTCTCAATAAATTCGATATTGATGGAATGTATCTCAAAATAATAAGAGCTATTTATGAAAAACCCACAGCCAATATCATACTGAATGGGCAAGAACTGGAAGCATTCTCTTTGAAAACTGGCACAAGACAGGGATGCCCTCTCTCACAACTCCTATTCAACATAGTGTTGGAAGTTCTGGCTAGGGAAATCAGGCAAGAGAAAGGAAAAAAAGAAGTCATATTGTCCCTCTTTGCAGATGACATGATTGTATATTTAAAAAAACCCCATTATCTTAGCACAAAATCTAAAGCTGATAAGCAACTTCAGCAAAGTCTCAGGATACAAAATCAATGTGCAAAAATCACAAGCATTCTTATACACCAGTAACAGACAAACAGAGAGCCAAATCATGAATGAACTCCCATTCACAATTGCTTCAAAGAGAATAAAATACCTAGGAATCCAACATACAAGGGATATAAAGGACCTCTTCAAGGAGAACTACAAACCACTGCTCGGTGAAATACAAGAGGACACAAACAAATGGAAGAACATACCATGCTCATGGATAGGAAGAATCAATTCTGTGAAAATGGTCATACTGCCTAAGGTAATTTATAGATTCAATGCTGTCCCCATTAAGTTACCAATGACTTTCTTCACAGAATTGGAAAACACTGCTTTAAAGTTCATATGGAATCAAAAAAGACCCTGCATTGCCAAGACAATCCTAAGCCAAAAGAACAAAGTTGGAGGCATCACGCTACCTGACTTCAAACTATACTACAAGGCTACAGTAACCAAAACAGCATGGTACTGGTACCAAAACAGAGATATAGACTAATGGAACAGGACAGAGCCTTCAGAAATAATACCACACATCTACAGCCATCTGATCTTTGACAAACCTGAGAAAAACAAGAAATGATGAAAGGATTCACTATTTAATCAATGGTGCTGGGAAAATTGCCTAGCCATAAGTAGAAAGCTGAAACTGGATCCTTTCCTTAATCCTTATATGAAAATTAATTCAAGATGGATTAGAGACTTAAATGTTAGACCAAAAACCATAAAAACCCTAGAAGAAAACCTAGGTAATACCATTCAGTACATAGGCATGGGCAAGGACTTCATGTCTAAAACAGCAAAATCAATGGCAACAAAAGCCAAAATTGACAAATGGGATCTAATTAAACTAAAGAGCTTCTGCACAGCAAAAGAAACTACCATCAGAGTGAACAGCTAGCCTATAGAATGGGAGAAAATGTTTGCAATCTACTCATCTGACAAAGGACTAATATCCAGAACCTATAAAAAACTCAAACAAATTTACAAGATAAAAGCAAGGGACCCCATCAAAAAGTGGGCAAGGGATATGAACAGACACTTCTCAAAAGAAGACATTCACACAGCCAACAGACACAAGAAAAAATGCTCATCATCACTGGCCATTAGAGAAATGCAAATCAAAACCACCATGAGATACCATCTCACACCAGTTACAATGGCAATCATTAAAAAATCAGGAAACAACAGGTGCTGGAGAGGATGTGGAGAAATAGGAACACTTTTACACTGTTGGTGTGACTGTAAACGAGTTCAACCATTGTGGAAAACAGTGTGGCGATTCCTCAAGGATCTAGAACTAGAAATACTATTTGACCCAGCTATCCCATTACTGGGTGTATACCCAAAGGATTATAAATCATGCTGCTATAAAGACACATGCACACGTATGTTTATTGCGGCACTATTCCCAATAGCAAAGACTTGGAATCAACCCAAATGTCCATCAGTGACAGACTGGATTAAGAAAATGTGGCACATATACACCATGGGATTCTATGCAGTCATAAAAAAGGATGAGTTTGTGTCCTTTGTAGGAACATGGATGCAGCTGGAGACCATCATTCTCAGCGAACTATTGCAAGAACAGAAAACTAAACACCACATGTTCTCACTCATAGGTGGGAATTGAACAATGAGATCACTTGGACACAGGAAGGGGAACATCACACACTGGGGCCTGTTGTGGAGAGGGGACAGGTGGGAGGGATAGCCTTAGGAGATATACCTAATGTAAATGACGAGTTAATTGGTGCAGCACACCAACATGGCACATGTATACATATGTAACAAACCTGCACGTTGTGCACATGTACCCTAGAACTTAAAGTATAATAATTTTAAAAATTAAAATATAATAATAATAATCTCTGTCACACAATCTAGTTTGATCAAAAAAAAATATTAAATAACAGCTACTTTGCACCACAAGGCATGAAACGCTAAGCTTCTTATCTTTTAGGACAGATAATATTAACTTTATTTTACAAGTAAGGAAACCAAGTCTCTATGAGGTTAATTTACTCAAAGTCCACATAAGAAATAGTAGAACTAGGAGTCAAAGCTGCTCTCATCTGACTCCAAATCTTCTGCTTTGTTTTCTACCTCAGCATTTCGAAGTACCATTCGACTGCCTTGATTAAAATGCCTGACATCCTCCCTGTCAGGAAACAGGCAGTGGCTAACTAAAGCCATCTTCCTAAAAGACATCTTTCAACTCATAAGTTCCTAAGCCAAGTTATCTCACAAAAGAATAAGTTTCCTTTCCAAGCAGCCAAGTTTCTATGCCATGCTAAAGACCTTTCTTTTTAACCTTTCAGGTATACAGCCATAGATCCTCATCCATCTGCAGAATAGATGTTGACACATATTGCACCAAACAGAGCTCCAACCCCACCTTCAATCTTGTAGCATTATCTCAGTCGTTATCAAAGCATCTGGCCCAGTGTCTCACTGCAGAGATTGTGCACAAATTAGAAATGCTGCAATCTATGAAAATTCATTCTTCATTCTCCATGTTTTTCAGCCCCTACCCTTCACATTGCAGTCCCAGCAAAGGACAGAAAGGCAACCACATGGGAGAAATCCAGATAACGCAGGCCAATTTCTACCTCAGCCCACAAACAACAAGGAAATAGATAGCCAGTCTTGCAGATGAGAGATTAGATACTGTTCTAAGTATGAGAGATTAGATATTGTTCTACCACTTTCTCTTACACAGCCCTCTAAAACATCGCAAGGTATGCTCCTCAACTGAATTCTAATTAGCTGAGTCATTCACTTCATGCCTTACCTATTATAATTAGCTCTTTTCTTCAAGATTTACCAATCCCTCCTTCTACCCTAAATAGCATCCCTAAACAGATACACAGTGTTATGACCTGCTACAGTTAAAAAGATGGAAAAGTTGTCATTCATGGTTTGGTATTCCACTAACTTTGGCCTGATGTGAGACCAGACACAAAGAATGCCTTCAGGAGCTGGCATGCGGAGCCAAGAATCATTGGGGCCACATACAACCTAGTCTCAGCTCCAGCCAGATGAAACTACTGGATGCTGTGAGGTCACATACTGCTTCCCAGACAAACCAAGGCAAAGCCCAAAACTCTGCATTACCTCTTCAAAATGGCCTCTCATCTCTAAAAAAAAAAAAGAAAGAAAGAAAGAAAGATAAAACGTTGTCCAACTTTGGGTGCAACTAGCCTCTTTCGTATCTCCCCTCAACCAACCCTAGCCCCTGTATTTCCCTGTCTTCTTATTTGATCTGTTTTCTATTTTGGTTCTCAGCTGAGTATCAACTTCTGTTAAGTACCTGATTCTTTGCTTTGGCTTGGATCAGTATAGTCTTCAGCCATCTTCCTGGGTTTACCGACCACAGGCCCGAGTTCTGCAGAACTGGTTTAAACTGGTCAAAATAGATTTGTACTGACCAGAACTGAGTTTCTTCGTCAAAAAATATTTGAACTGATCAAGACCAACTTCTGACAATTTTAAACCCATTTGGGCCATTTTACATTACTAATGCAGGAGCAAGCCACTGAGGGAATCAGGACAAATCAGGAACGAGATGAAGCAGCTTCAATCTGCTTAGAAGACCAGTTGGGGGAGAAAAAGGACCTGATGCTAAGGATCACACCATTTGTGGTGGTGGTGCTGGAGGGGGGATAAGAAAGTCCAAGAGGTAAGATCAAACTACTGTGGACCCCAGGGGAAGAGCTAAAATAAACTGATGCTCAGTAACGCAGGATCAAATCACTGGTGTGAGACAGGAGGAGGAAATATGCTGATGCTCTCCAGACAGAATCAGACCACTGAGATGCATAGATTGTTGAATGGGGATGCTTTTCTATAAGGTGCCATCAAACCACTCTGGGAGAGGGAAGGAAAAGAAGAGGAAGATGAAGATTGAAAAGGGTCTAGTAATCTGTAAGACAGAGTCAGACCCCTGTGAAGGATTGATGATAAGGGATGCTGTTTTAAGTAGCAGGACCAAACCACTGTAAAAGAGAGGGGAGAAAAAGAAGCTGAAATTTCTTAAAGCAAGCGTAAATTCTTTATAGGAAAATAAACAAGAATATGGTGTTCTGTAAAACAGAATCAAATCCTGCTTTTATATTTAATAAAGGGTGTTTATATATATTATTATTATCATCATTTACTCTGCCCTCTGATGGTTGGGTCAAACCATGTTCTCACAAAGGCTTGTGCAGTAATTCTCAGCGGCCCCTAATGGTTGCTAGGCAACAGTGTGGCAGCTGCTGGACAAACGTTGCCCTTTTGACATTAACCCCTGGGTTTCTGGAAGGGAAATAAGATGTACATAAATGAAAACAATGGAGAACAAAGTGAGATGATAACATCAAATGTTAGGTGGGGAGGAGTGGAAGACAAATTCACAGATCTTCAAAAATAAAAGGGAGACAGTAAAGTAATTGGTGAATGATAGCTATGTGGAAGAAGCAACTCTTTGACAAAAGTACTGTCCTATAGACTTATAAAACATCAAGTCCAGTTCTACATAAGACTTCTGAGTCCTCTTATGACATCTCTAACCAGTAGTGCTTGAATACTCTACGTGAAAAAGTAGTAATTGGAAGAAGTAGTAGTTCCTGGACAACCTATTCGATTTTCCTATAACGCTAGTCATTTTTAAAACTTTTGAGCCCCAAATTTCTTCCCTATGGATTTCACCCAGAAGTCTGAATCCTGTCTTCTAGAGCAGGCGCTGGCAAACAAGGGCTTACAGGCCATACCCAACTCATTGCCTATTTTTGTACAGAGCATGAGCTAAGAATGGTTATTACATTTTTAAATAGTTGAAAAAATGAAAAAAAAAAACATTTTGTGACATATGAAAAATTACATGAAACTGAAATTTCAGTCCATGAATAAGGTTTTGTTGGAACACAGCCATGCTCATTAATTTGCATATTATCTATGGCTGCTTTCTTGCTACCACAGCAGAGTTGAGTAGTAGTAGTTGAGTGATAGGAGACATTATGGCTCTCAAAGCCCAAAGTATTTTACTATGTGGACCTTTCCAGAGTAAGTTTGCTGACCACAGATCTAAAGCAACAAAATAGCAGTTTTCAACAGGACTCTGCTTAAGTAAGAACGGAATGGGGATAGTAGATATATGAAAGAGAGTTAATAGACCTCACAGAGAATCCCAAATCCTCAAAGGGAGGAAGGAGACTTGTGCCAAGGTCCTCCAAGACCTTGAATAACTTCAAGTCATTTCCCAAGGACTCCAAGGAATAAGGAAGAGATTTAGCTTGTGTGGAGAGAGGAGAGTCTCTAAGAATAAATTACAGCTGGAAGTGAAGGTTTGGGTCAGACTGTTAAAGGCCTTGAGCACAAAATACATTCTCTTGGCCATCCTGAAAGCAAGAGAAGAGCCACTATTGAGTTTCAGGTTGTGATAGGGTTGATTGACAGGGTAAAAGCAGGACCTGATGAAGATGATTCATGCTTCTAGATATCATTCTAGCTCTATCTTGGCTCTACACAAGTTGCACTGGTTTGAGAAATTCAGGTCATTCTGGTCACTTAAGTTCAAAACCATCTCAATACAGTTACCCTAGTCTGAACACAATCTGGTTGGAGGTCAGGCTCTTACAGTAAATGAAAGATGTATGCTGAGTCAATTTCAAAGGAGTTTTGCTTTAGAAGGCATAAGAGATGTGATGAGAGCATCTTGTCACATCTTTCTCTGATTCCTACTCATTTTCAGGACCCAACTCAACCATACCTCCCCCAGGGCTCTTGCCCTCCTCTGAACTCCTTCAGGACTTCTTTGTACCACTCACATGGTCCTAACTTATATCCTTCCTAACACTGAGAGCATTTCTTTGTGAAAATGGCCTGTTTCCCCGAAAAACCTTGAGACCCCAGAGGAAAACGATTATAACTGAGACTTTTCTGTGTTCCCATGGGATCTGGCTAGTTGAGAAGGATATTTATCCAATGATTTAGTGGTCTCTCAGTGTGGGGAGGCCCCACTTAGAGAATCTCAGGCACTTGGGGAGCTCTGTCTGCTCTCGTTACACACTCACCTTTCTAGACTAAGTAGGCTATAAAGGGGTGAGGTCTAGTGATGTATCCCAGCCAGGCCTGGGCTACAATGACTACACAAAGAGCATATAGCTCTTTCTGGCCCTAGTGCCACAAAGTCCCTGGCTCTCCATCATTCCTGCTTTCATAGTCTCAGGGATGAATGTCCTGGTCAGAAAGACAAAGCCCACAGTTCTGAATGCCAGGTATCCAGTCCCATTTTCCATGGCCTCTGTTGATGCTGGACCCAACCTTCAGGCTGGACTCAACAGACTCACGATGAAAATAGGCCCTTGGCTGGGAAGGCTGCCTTTCCACAAAGTGCTCTTTCCCCACAATGGCCAAAGCAAATGCCGCTGGCCAGAGCTGAAAGCCAGCCAGCTGCTCCCGACCTTTGCCGGGCAGCACCAAGGAGGCCCAGAGTCAACAGTGCATGGACAGGTTAGCTATTTTATTCCTTCTCATTCCTCAGACATCAGATTTCCCTTCAGTGAATCTAAACAACCAAACAGAACTAAAATCAGCTCTAGCCTCTAGGAAAAAGTCAAAGATCTTTGGGCCTCAATTGCTAAGAGTTAGAGATTCAGCACATCCCCCACCTCCACTCCTCTCAGCCTCTCAAGGGTGCCAAAACCCACAGGCCACCTTCTGGAGTCACTGTTGAAATTGCTTTTCTTTGTTCCCTTAGGAGAAAGGAAGGAGGTGTGCAGGAATGAACTATCAGTACCCACTGTTCTTGTTGGTTCACAGGCCAAGGTGAGACTCAAAACAGAGTCCAACCAATTATTCTTCTTGAATTAAGTAGCCAGCCTTCCTTCATCATGACGGGGCAGGGCCGGGTTTCAGGAACTGACTGAGAGGAACATGGAGAGAGGAAGAGAAGGAAGGGTAAAGAAAAGGACAGTGGGAAAGACTAGGCAGAGACAAGGGAAGAATATTTGATTGAACATACGGAAGTTTCTTCTGAAAGAGCAACTTTAGGCTAGTGAATGCAATTAGGAAGGTGGAAAAATTTTGATGGTGGCAAAGATAGAAAATGGTACTGCCTTGGGAATAAAGTTGTCTTGTCTGTATCCATAGAAAACATTCTCCTCTCCCAGACTGGGACGGGGTGTTACTGACTTAGAAGATACCTGGGACTAGAAAGGATTACTATCAAACAGAAAGATATCCTTCATCAGAGAGAGTCAACGTCTGATTCAAACTATAAACTATCCCTTTGGTACACAGGTCCCCTCTAATAATAGTCATAAACATTTCACAATAATAGTAATAAATACCTCATAATTAACCCCACCTACACGCCTGGCAATGTTCTATTCCCAAACTTGTCACCAAGGCACCCCAGCATGCCATAAGCAATTTACAGAGGTACTGCAAGACATTTTAAATTTTTGAGGGAAACATATTAACATCTGTCAGATGCCTTGTGAACTACTACTGTTAAGCTTTTTGCACCTAATTACTCAATAAACAGAACTGTTTTATATTTCAATATTTCTTTTGGCTTAGGGATGCTGTGAAAAAAATATGAAAACACTAAGGGCACAGTGAATGAAGAAACTTTCGGAATATTTGCTATATGGATTACATGGATTACTCATGTAATTCTCCAACATTATGAGGTAGGTCTTAATATTGTTTGCATTTTGCAGATAAAGAAACTAAAGCTCCAAAAGATAAAGTAATTTGTCCAATGTACACATCTAAATGATGGCAAAGCAGAGATGAAAACACAGATATGGCAGACTCCAGGGATTGTACTCTTAAACCATTCATAATACTGTTTTCCCATAATTAGCTTTGCACACCATGCTCATTGCTTATGCAGGCTGTGAAGAATGCCTTGATGGGACAAGTGATGTTTGTGTTACAGAAATAGTATTACTAGTCTAGAAATCCAAAATGTATTTGTCTATTAATCAATGCACATACTATAAAAGGTATATAATAGGGATGCCATTTAAAACTAAGAATTAAATAAATATGAAACAGAAGCTGAAATTGGGATTCCCACCAAGCTATTTCAACCATTCAACTGCTTTTGAACTAATTCCTGGGAGATCACCCATGGTTAGTATAATTTTATTCTAAATTTTAGTTTTTCTGTATCACTAAGGTTCACTTTTATTTTCTGGTGTGATAAGCAGTGCCTTCTATCTCACTGAATATAAAAGAGAAAATATCAGTCCCAATTGCCACTGGTTTCTCTCTTATTACCCTGAGGGAATTCAGCCTGAGAACAAGGACAACATACAAAGCAGGACAGAATCAAGAGAATCACAGAGGAAAGGTGCCAGAGTCATGACTGAACCATACTTGAAACCTGTCCAACCCCTGGACTTTTCTATTATATGAGCCAATATTCCTCTGTTTTGTTCTGATTAGTATAAGTTGAGTTTTCTGTAATTTGCAACCAAAGCATCCTGAATAAGTTACTTTCCTAAAGCACTTAGCACCATGCTTTGTATACTCAGCCATAAGAGCCCAGTTCCAATGCTGATTCCCCACTGAAGCATGTTCTAAACCCCAAAACACAATTTATGGCTCCATTATTTGGGTACTCATGGCTCATTATATATAACTTTACTGTATAGTATATCACTGTGGGTTATTTATTTACAGATACTTCTTTACCTAATGTTTCTCCCACTATAAGGTAAAACTGCGGTGCCTTATAAAATGCCTAACAAACAGGAGACCATCCATAAGTGCGTGTTGCTCTAAACTAAAATGAAACATTAAGCATTCAATCAACATTAGTTCAGTTCTCTTTCCCCTGGTAGGCAGAATAATGCTAGATAGGTCCTATTCTTACTATAAATTCTGACAGCCCAGAGACTTGTCCCACTTTAGCCCTAGGCATGTGCAGAACAACTTCAAATGGCAATACCCAGTCTGCTCTTCCAGCATCCAACACCCTATACCAGACCTGGCAGAAGTCAATGTAGAGGTTGCTGAGACAAACCA